GCGCCTCCATGAGCTCCTGAGCTCCCACCCTGCCCCGTCCTCCCCGCGGCAGCGGCTCCAGGTGCGCGGGTCCGAGCAGAGCCGGGACGCAGCTGGCTGCAATGGCGTCCAACATGGACCGAGAAATGATATTGGCTGATTTCCAGGTAAATTTCGAGCCGCCGCCACACAGCCGTGGCCTCTCGCTGCTTTTCTCTTTCTCCTCGTTGCTGTGCTGCTTGTTCTTTGTGGGGAGGTCTGGGGTGGTGGGTGTGAAGCCCACCCTCTGAAGCCTCCGCTCTTGCTTTCCTTCTTTTTTTGTTTGTCAGAAATGGGGAGTGTGTGCCCTCTTCTCTCAAGGTGCGTGAACAAAATGTCTTCTTTAACTTAGAGAGTTTCAGTTTTTAATTTAATAAAAAAAGCTTTTTCATCCACTTTGCTTGTTCCTATCCTCTGCAATCACCCAGGCCCTGGGACAGCTGTGAGGCAGCTCACTTGGAAGAGGCAAATGCCAGGGAGGATACAAAACTCACCAGTCCACATGATTTGTCACAGTGTTTGTAGTGAATCACTTGCTGGTGCTACAGATTAGTGCTGAACAGAGGTGTTTCCATTCCAGCATCAACACTAAACTTCATGGTTGCCTCAGCCTATGACTGTTGTGATGACGGTAAAACTCTTCCCACCCCATTCCAAACAACAGCGTGTTTGTGTAGAAGGGAAGAATATGTTCTTCAGAGTTGTCTGTTACCTTTCTTTCTCTCTACAAAAGGGTTGTAACTTAACTGCAGACTTCCAAATCTTATCCCCAGAATAAAGTCTTTCTGTAAGTAAAAGTGATGTGTTTAGGAGTGTATATTACTTCTTAATATTGCTTGTTTTTGTATTGTTTTTCTAAGACCAAGTGAAAGAGAGAAGGATACCTGTGTTTGGATTAGTGGGGAGAGCCAAACATATCTGGGAAGAAAATCAGATAATATTTGAATATACTTTTTAAAAATTTGCTTTTCAATCCATCAGGGTTTTTTTTTAAGCTCTGTGCATTTGCAGTGGTGGTTCTTACATGAATAGGCACCTGGATATTCTTAGATTGATTTGTAAAACAGCCATCTGTATGTTCAGCTCCTTAAAAGACTGCTTTCCAGCTGTTAGCAGTGAAATTATTTCATTTAGTTTAAAAGAAAAAAAAGGTAATCCCTCCAGTTCACACTGTGTGTGTGTGTGTTTCTTTGGAGCTACAGGTAGGGTGACTGTAGCATGCACAGCAATTCCTGTGTATTATGTAATTAAGTAATTCCCCTTTTGCAAAAGGTACCTGGTGTCTCACTGCTGTAACTCATGGAGTTCCCAGCTGATAACAGGGAACTGTCTTCCAATATCTTCTGTACCCCAATATCTTATACCTGTATTCATTAAAGTGCTTACCAAATGTTACTATATTGAACTACTTTGTTGTGCTTGGAGATACTTTTATGTATATAGGAGGTGATATCCCAATTTTAGAGCTGGGATTTCACAAAGGAGTTTTTCCAGGAACAACACACTGTGTGAAAGGAAACTGGGACCCCAATTCTGCATTCATACCGGTGGGAACAGATCCTTATGGGATCCTACATTATTTCCTGAACTTACAATCAGGAATCCCAGATGATGAAATTACTGACTGGTAAACATAAGAATATTCATTTAATAGAATTTTCAATTTAGATTTACGCTTTCCAGGTGTTCTGTGCTATTTTGCAGTATTGTTGTGCTTGGATTTTGAAACCATTAATAAGAGTATGAGCAACTGCAGTGTTTGGTACCATGAAGACAAGTAAGTACCATTGCAAACTTGCAGGTGGGTGGTGGAGTCACACAAACCAGTTTTAGATCACGGGTGGATGACATAATGTGTCTGAACCTAGGAAACAGGAAATATTTTATCATATGCCAATCCTTACTTAGAAAGAACCCAAACATTTTCCTCTTGTATTTCAGCAGACAGCTTTGTTTTGCTGTTTCATTGTATTTCTTTTAAAGATAACATCAAGTGTCTACCCGATTTTGAAGTACTGAACTGTTAATTGTCATGCTGCTAAAGCTTCAGATTAGTAAAGGACAATGTCAGTCATTATTAGGCCTTGTATCTTTAGACTGTTACAAAACAGTAAAGGTTTTTTGGTCTTTTAAATACTTGGTGGAATCTGCAACTTATTCACTAAGAATTTAAAATGGAGAATAAAACATTATGTGCAAAGTAATTCTGCCTGATTTTCCCTTCTATATTTTCTGTACCTTTTAATTAATAAATACTTTTCTCAGAATTCTGCTGCCATCTTCTATGTTTATGTGAGGTGTCTTGTTGAAGAATGTTGCACACAGTGAGTGGAAATTTCAAAAGCAGGTCTTTGTAGTTTAGTTCAGCTAGTCTTTGGTGAATTAAATTGAGAGGGAAACTTCCATCACCATTTCACCCTCACCTTTCCCAAGTATTGTTTAAGGGGGATAGAGAAGTGGTCTTTAAACTTCTGAAAGTTGAAAGGGTTTTCTCTCTCCATTAAAAAAATAAATTAATGAAATCATAATTGTGCTGATGCTTGATGCTTTTGTGAAGCTTTCATGGATTTATTGTGTATCTTCCAGAATTATTAGGGATTTTGCCTTGGGTTTCAGATAGAGCAGGAACTCGTATTGCATTTGTTTTTTTCTTTTTAGCTTTGATTGTAGTAACAGGTTACTTCTGTGTTTGGAGAGACTAAAGAGAATTACTTTTTAAAAAGTATTTCGCATATATGTAAATATATATATACATAAACCCATGGAATTTTATAAAATATTTTAAGTATAGAATAAGACACAGTGAGTGATCTACCAAAATATTTTTGCTTAATGTCTCAAAACAATTTAAGCCTGTTCTGTGTGGTTTATAATTATTTTCTTTTCCTCTCCTTTTTAATGAGGCTACTGTGTGCTACCCGGGGAGCACAAAATACGTATTCATGCATGTGGGCTGTAAAAGCAACCTGCCTAACTTTTCCTTCTTAGGCCCACACTTAGGAAAGATTATGCAGAAGCTTTGCTTTGTACATGACTAGTCTGATTGTTTCCAGTGGAAGTAGCTGATGTGGAGTTCAGCGCACAAACAAGTTTTAGCTTTTTTACTAAATGCAATTCAGAATTTCTCCACAAAGTGTCATTGGCATAAAGGAAAAACTCCATAGGAAAAAACACAACAGCTTGTGTTAGTAGCATAAATTCTTCAAAAGGGTAGCTGCATGTGAGTTGTTAAGAGTGATGCTGCAACATACTTCACATACTGGGGGAAATAAGGGCATATCATCTCTACCAATTTTTTAACAACTGTTCTTCTGCTGTTTGTTGTGTTTAACTGCAAAGTGTTCTTCCATCTTCAGTGGGATACTCAGGTGCTCACATGGTACAAATATGATCTCATGACGTTTGGGGTCTACTTTTCACTATAAAGAAAACAGGGGTTTTTTTCCTTTTTAAATTGTAAAATTTAGTTGCACAGAGCTTCATTTAATTGACATAGGTTGGTCTTCATTCCCAAAGTTTAACTTTGAATATTGGCAGAAATATCAGATATTGATGTTTCTGCACATTAGCACTTCTGTTTTTACAGCTTCACTTAAGATTGGAAATAAAATTGCAAGAATATCTTTTTGTCCTCATAAGTTATGTCCACCTGTAGGACCACTTTCTTCATGCTGAGTGCTTGTCCTCACAACAATCCTAAATGTGGAGTGGGTCTGAGGGTTGCAGTATTGTGGGAGTTGACAGTTCCTGTGTGTCCATATATTACAAGGATATCTGGCACATTGGAGCTTCAGGAGGAAATTTTTCCAAGAATTCACATTTTTCATTGACCAAATAAATAAGTAGCTCAGGATTTGGTCAGGGTGGGAAGTTTTCAGAGTGAAATGACAAAACTCAAAAATCCATGCTTTCATTGAAACAACGGATTTCTGGTAGTTCTCCCCTCTTTCATCTGTGTTCGTTGTGAAACCAAGGTATGTGCTTTTTTTGTTTTCCTTTTTCAATTTTTTTTTAAAACTGGATAATTGACTGCTTTTGTGTGATTCACACAGTTGTGTATAAAAATTATAAAAATGTCCTTTTTTTTTTCCAAATTCAACTTTTGTGTCAATTTTGTCTTTCATAAAAACAGGTTTGTGGGAGGAGCAAGGGGGAATTGGGAAGGAAGAACCTCATTGCCATCAGTTGCAGCAAAGTGAGAGAGCATGCTGAATGACTGTGTTTTAAATTATAAAATTGACCATGATGGTGATACATCAGTTTATTATTTTTTGTTTTGTTTGCTTTTAAAGATTTAATTGTAATTCAATCTACTTGTTTCCTTCTGGAATGGTGAAAATTAAAGAAACTGGAGAGTCTTTTCACCTGGAGGTTAACACAGTGCTGTTAAATAACTGACAAGATAAAGGTTTTTTTTTGTATTTTTTTTTGTTCTGTCTGCTTCAGCCCTGTGGAAGATTATCTCAGTTGTCAGTTTTCACTGTCCAACAGTCTGTGTGCAGAATTTACGTTGTTTTTTTTTTTTTTTTTTAAGGGCACTAAGTGAGCTTTGCTCTCTTCTGTGTTTGTTGGCATGGTGGCTCAGGTTTTTTGCCATTTTAAGTTATTGCCAGTATAAAGATTTGATGGGTGGAAAAGGTAGGCAGATACAGGGATAACTTCAAGTCAGTAACCTTGATTCTGGCCCTGGACTGTGACTTAGGGTGGGGGCTGGAAAGTGTTTCAAACATTTCTGTAAGGATAAAGCACTCACTGTGAGTTCTGAACAAATCTCAGAGTTGATGTCCTTAATATTGATTTCCGAAAGAAAGAGACATGTTTTGTCATTAAGGTACTGGGGCAGAAAGAGCTGTTCTTGCTCTCTTTGCAGGCTTTCAGCGGACTGCTTGGGAATTTGGAACAAGGTCCTCAACAAAAGGTAGTTGCTAAGAGAGTTCCAGTCAAAGTTTAAACATAAGCTGGAGGACACTTTCCCAAGATTTAAAGTTCTTGGAGGCCTACATTTTCATCAGAAGGTCTCCCAAAATACCTGGGTGTACATTTGTTCAGATCTGTCTGAGCTTAAACCTCAGTCTAATTTAATCGTACCCTCCTACTGGGTATCTTTACTTAAAAGTGGGCTCAGCTGGGTTTTTCTAATCATCAGGTGCCCAGATGCTCAGCACTGCTTCACCTGACCTGTTTTAGTGGATATAGGTTACTGTATTTTCAGTTAAATTTTAGAATAGATAACAGGACTGTTTTTCAGTGTGAAAAAGAGGCCTTTAGGACACTGTAGGATGTTGAAGCTCATACTTGTGAGGCCTCTTAATTTGCATTTTGATTAGAATTCCTTTTAATCCTTGTTGGATTTTATCACATTATAATCTTGCGCATTACACAGTCAGTAACACCTTTGGTACTGGTAGTTGGACCTCTTTGGCTTGTTTGCTATAAATTGCTTTAGGGCCAAGAGACATGATAAAAACATACTGCAAGCTTAATGTGTTCTATCTTGGTTATTGCCATTTTCATTGTCTGCTACCAGTCACTTCTGCCATCACTTCTAGTAATTTATTCTTTGTGGGCTTTTGGAGTTTCATTTTTTTAGATATTTTTAGGCTCAGCTGTCATCCCAAAGTTCAGGTTCATCAGAAGAAGGCTAATTTGATTTACTGGCCTTTAAACTGAAGGTGAAGTGGGTTCCAGAGTCACAAATAAGAAGTTTGACTCCAACTGTGGTGTCCTTTTAGAAGCATAACTTGGATATTCCCATTGCTAGCTCTTCATGGAAAAGCCAGTTAATTTCTCTGATGTAAGGGCAGGTAGTTAATTAGAAATACTAACTGACATTTATGGAGAAGAAAGAAGCTACTATGACTATGATCTGTGTGCATTACACACCTACTGTAGGAACCTAAGTAATTTACCACTGGAGCACCAGTTTGTCTTTAGAAAGAGGTTTATTCTGTTTTTTTCATTCAATTACCTTGAAAAGACTCTTTACGTCATAGTAATCATGTCACCGTTTCTATCAGCCCATTCATATAGGTATTTGGGTTAGTAGGTCACTCAAACAGATTGAGGGGTGGTAGCTGTAGGATCCTTTTTCAAATGCCATGACAACCAATACTAATTATAATATTGAAATTATTAGTTATATGTACTCCCAAAGGCCACGAATGGGCTTTCATTGAAAGATACTGTGAAAATTGTCATATTGAAAATACCACATGGCTAATATATATTGGTAATCAAGGATCATTTACAGTAAAATTTACACTTGCTGAGTTGATATTTTTGTGTGGAAGGAGGTGTGAGAGAGGATGAGCATTTGAGCTCATTTGCTACATGTCTCAAGAGGCCTTGAGAATCTCCCATCTTGAGAATGTTGTATTTGAGCTAGAAAGCCTGAA